ATAACCTCGTTCAATTAATGGAACGTACTGCATGCTAATGTATTAACAACCTCGACAGTCCTGTTCCCTGCTGGCAGCTTGACGTTCGTTCGAGGGCCCTCGTGCCCAGTAACCGTGTGAACCCATATCTACGTCCAGCCTGTTTTTGGACATCGGCTGTCCCCCCCAGGGAGAGGAGCGGTGGATGATCGCCGCGTGATTCAGGTAGAAGGCGGCAACAAATGGTCGCGTGCACCCAAAGGGCCTAAACAACAAACGGCACTCATGAAAGTTGTAATTAATATGGCAGCGTGTAACGCATCTCGTAAAATGAGCGAGGGTTCATTGTGAAGAGAAAGAGATGGCGGGGAATTTCACAGTGGGAGCAGTGCGAGGGAACAATTCATCGAGGTGTCCGTGACCTGCGGTGTGGTGGTATGGTGCTGTAATTGGGATGCGGCAGGGATGGCCACACTGACGGCTTCCGCACGCAAACGCTCCCCTTCAGTCTCACACTCGCGCCACAACTCGAGACTTAAAATCATTACGCCAATACGAGGCGCCTCCCGCCCGCATTCACACACAGGAGCACAGAGACACCACCGATTCACGACATACGAATGGCATTGCACAGAGAATTCTGCACTGCAAACTGAATTGTAAGATATTGTTCAATGTATCCCCATGGAAGCCTGCACTGAGCCTGCAGTTGGGAGGCCTTGCCTCAGAATGTGAAAGAGGTTCCATTCTGGGTGACAGTTTTTAGCGTGGGAGGAAGCGAGCCGTGGCAGGATGGGGCTTGATGGGTAAGGCGTGGATAGTAGCGATGCCCCCCTTCAACGTAAACATTTGGTCGGACTGCCCCTTGCTACAGACGTCTTGCTGCGGGTGGCTTTGTCATGCCACGACAATCCACGCAGCGAAACCTTTCCAGGCACTCACCACCGCACGTAGCGACACCGTAGACAAAGTAGACAAGCAGGCAACTCGTCTCCTTCACGTGTGAGCCTCTCCGCATATATATTTAGTAAGTCTTGTTTACACAGCCCATTGGCTCCCTGACCTTCTCGGCGTGGATTATTTCAGCAGCATTGCTGCAAAACAAGCAGCCTTTTGCGCCGGGTTCGACATGCACTGTCTGATCTGCAGTTTATATCGTGAACAAATAGGCAATGAGCATTTCCAATGTGGCCTTGCATGCTGAGACAAGCCTCTAATCCAGTGATTTGGAAGGGCGATTGGTGGCTTAGGCAGGGAGAGTCTGTGTAAAATGCCCACTTCCAGGACTCGGTAGACCCCAGAGAACGACGTCCCCCGTCTTACCAGTGTGCTGAAGTCACCCGACAGCACAGCTTCACAACAGCCAGCTGTCCACGTGCTCTGTCTCGATAAAGAAAGAGATTGCCCCACACAAAGCCTATCCCTTTATTACAAAAACAATCCCTTAAATACCCCTCCTGTCCGCCCTTCCAAAAGTAATCATGTATTCTTGATTAAGAACCCTTTCTTTCAGATGTTTAATCTCTTCATATTGACCGTGGTCTCCTTTCTGATCCTTTCTGCTTACCAAAATACACAGGCAGGCAATACCACTCCGCATATATATATACCTGTCGATCCACGTCAACGTTGAAAGTATTTTTCCCTGCATCCAATCAGCCAGACACAGGGCTTCTGGGAGTGAATCTTCTCAGCAGAGGACTGAATACAAACTGTGCTGAAACTCAGTGGGGTTTTTTTAAGGATTCGCATCACGAGACAAATGCCCAATTCAGAATTCCCGCCTGACCCGGTGTTTGAGAATCATCTCCAGAAGGAAATTTCAGAAAGAAACACTTTCCACTAAGCTCAAGTGACGTACACACTTGACAATCGAGTTCATTAATAAGCAGCTACTTAAACTAAACTACTTTATTTACCAGGTAAATCCCAATGGGCTATCAGATATTATTCAGAGGTCACCTAGCCACACGTGATAGCTCATCAAAGTATGTGGGCAATGAGAGTCGGAGCCAAATAATCTAAACGCGCGTTTCTAAACATGCAGGGCAAAACCGGAGGACCCAGAGAAAAATACATATATCATTCGTCATATACGACACACATTGTCAGGGTCAGGATTGAATCTTCGCCCTCCTGCGTAGCAGGCGAGGGAGATAACATCTCACCACCGTCACCTGGATTCAAATGTATGGCCTCAGCAGTGCCAGCTCGGCACTCTGACCGGCAAGCCTCGGGGATAATTATTTCATATCAAGCTCATGTTGCCACTAAAGCCACGTTGGATGATGTCGAATGCTGCACCTGTTGTCTCCATCTAGAACTCTCCTGCATAAAAAGCAACAATTTCCAGTGCCTACGAACGTTGTCGGTTCTTCTGTTGCTCCAGTCCTTCTGGGACAAGCCTTTGTTTACCATTTTATCGTCGGTGTTATTCTCCGTATCTAAATTGGGCAGACATCACACGCAAAGCTAAACCGCTCTCCGAGGCCACGCGGATTTGAGAGCGCTGCTGAATGCCCGCAAATGCATTGCGCCCGCGGTGACGCTTAATAAGAAAGCAAACATCGACTGCGTTGTATCGCCGCCACATTCGTCGAGGTTCGTCTAAACACACCCGTCTTCACACTACCCCCATTGGTAGAAATGAAGTGATATAAGGGTCAAGCGGTGCTCGTCTCCTGAGGATCCGTTCCCATATCGCTCGTGCTGAAATTTCAGGCGTATCATATCCCCGTGTCCTTTGGACCCGCTCAATATTACCTGGCCTATACCACACGCCTAAGCCAGGTGGGCTGCATTCATTTTCCATGACTGCAAAGGACCTGGAGAACTGACAAGAGCATTCCGCCCACGCTCTGAGCCCTGTCATCGGCCTCGCCTTCTGTGACAAAGGGGGGGCTTCGAGCAGCGACGCGTGCAATCTGCACTGGTGTTACGCGAACTGGCGCGAACGGATACTTGAGTGTAATGGTTGAAGCAAAGCTTTAAATGGCCTAATTGCCAGCTTGCTCGCCACCGAGATTGTTTGCTCAAGGTGGGTGCATAATTTCCCCCAACGTGCAAATGATGACGCGTGAGTAATGATCAAAGTGCGCTCCCCAACCTGATGAAAAGCCGAACATTCAGACCGTGCGTCATCACTCGACAACACGGCCATTGTGAACTGGTGTCAGAGTGCAAACACACAATTCAATGTTCACTCAGAGGGTGTTCTTGCTCAAATGATCAAGGTGCAGTGCTCGTTGCCACTGGTGGATATTACAGGATATCTGTAGCTGGACCGTTTTCTCCATTATATTAACAGCTGCTGTTTCCCCGCTGGCATTGGTCCAAGCAAGCCGTCCTCCGCTGATGAAACACTGCATGTTGAAACTAGTCCAAAGTTGGCTCGTGTTTAACCAATGCTGCTGATAGGCAATGTGACTGATAAAATGCGTGCAATTAATATTGTTTTTGTGGAAGAATTACGTGAAGGAGGTATATCGGTGGCTAGCGCGCTGGGCTAGGAATCGACCCGAGTTCAATTCCCGCTCATGGCCAACACCAGTGACGATTATCTAAACCAGTCCTGAGTCTCCCCTAGGTTGACTCAGACTCAAAAGACTACCTGGTATAGTGGGTAAACATCGCCACTGGGGTGACAAAGGAGGCCGGGCGTGGTGCTGGCCACCCACCCCCTGGTGTGCCATGCCGGCCCTCATAGGTGCTCACTAACAGCACTTGCCCCAGCAGTCTGTTAGAACTATACGGGGGGGATCTTTGTCTTTGTAGGGGGTATGGTTACGTAGTGCAGGAAAGGTAAAACGGGGGCCCCGTTTCAGCACTGATTTTTTTACATGGTGGGTTAGGGGGTGTATGTAGGTCCCCTCTGGGTTTCACCATAGGTACCCAATTGATGTACACATGTGCACGTTTCCTGCGAGTCGTTTTATTCCTAAAAAATATTATAACAGAGCGCAGCAGAACTTTTCAAATCTGTTAAGTGAAACGCGTGTGTGCTCGAGTGTGTCTGTGTGTGCGTAGGTGCCAAACATATACAAGGGCGGCAAAGACCTGCGATTGGCAAAGTTTGCTTTCGTGTCAAAAAGGGGGGCTCTCGTGTCAAGGGACGACAGACGTGACTGCATCATCTTTTAACACTGTCAGACCCGAGATGACGATGGATGCCAAGCGTTTACTCCAGTAGCGAACAGTGGGTTCTGTCGCTGGCCTGACAGATTGATAACGTCCGGGGGTTTATCCTTCCGGAACAATACATTCATAATTAATTGCGCCATGGTGGCGAGATGTTAACTACGTCGTCAGGTATACAGGATGTCCTGGGTCCGATCCTGTTTCTGACACCTGCTGTATATTTGGATTTTGCATGTTCTCCCCGTGGTCGCATGGATGTTTCTCCAGGTCCTCCGCTTTTTCCATCCACATTGAGAATCAACGTGCGTTTATAGTATTTGAGTATTGGCTGCTATAAATTTCCACGTGATAATACACTTGGTTTAGATTTAATTTGTGGCCAGGTCACTTCTGAAAAATAAGCCAATAGCTCAGTGAGCTTTACCTGATAAAAGAACAAATAGTTTAGTTTCATTTTACATTACATTTTTTTGTGATTTGCTTACCTTTCCGATATTTCTTGGTTTTTTTTATTGTTTGTTGTTTTAACGTTCTGACCCGCCCCTACCAGACATTTGTAAAAAAGATATTCATTGCTCATTGAATTCCTCCAGTATCATTCTGAGCTTGCATTGTCAGACTGGAGAGAACGACAATGCTATGTGTTTACTCCAATAGCAAACAGTGGCTTATGTCGTTGGCCTGACAGATTGATCACATCGGGGTCTACCACCTGTGCTTGTTCTGCCATTGGCCTGACAGATTGGTCACGTCGGGATCTACCACCTGTGCTTGTTCTGCCGTTGGCCTGACAGATTGGTCACGTCGGGGTCTACCACCTGTGTTTATTCTGCCTTTTGGCCTGACAGATTGGTCACGTCGGGGTGTATCACCTGTGCTTGCAGGATCACGACCACGGCCGCTTGCATGATGGACCTGCGGCGGTACCCATTGGACGAGCAAAACTGCACCCTGGAAATCGAGAGCTGTGAGTGTCACCGCACACAAAGCAGCGGTCACCACGACCTCTTCCATCAATCCACATCCCGAATAAAGGCCTCGACGCTGACAACAATGTCAATATTCCCATACAATTGCAATCTACCACGCTCACGGTTGTCATATATTACTCTACGCCAGGGCTCCCTTGTATATAACAGCGTTATTGTCTCAGTGCACACGAACGTGGCTTAAATAAAAGATCGTACACATGCAATCCCACGTCTTTTTTATTTTATCACCCTTGTTTTTTTTCAATAGGTGAGACATACAAACATGCAATGTATTTTTAAATCCTTTATATTAAGTTCACTTGCTTGCTTGCGCGCTTACGACCGAGCAAATCTTTCGGTCGATTTTTAACCCACTTCCCGTGATCCAATCGAGCTGACATTTTGCACACAGACTCGTTGTGCGTGACACTTTATTTTCGTGAAAAAAATTCCAAAATTTTCCACTTTTTAGGAAAAAAAATTTTCATATTTAATTTAAAATATCAATGTGATAAAAATGAAACTCTTACTCAAGAAAAACAGAAATGAATAATAAAATAAAACCGATGCCATGCATATAAAGGATTTATAGTGAAAAACTTTGTTTTTACGGGTTAATTTTTTCAGTATTCCTATCTTCTATGCAACCGCTGCCAATCCTGCCACGTTTGCTTTGTAATTAAAAATATGGCTGCTCTTTAGAATCACGTATTTATTTTTACTTTTAAACGTCTTCAGTTGTACCTGTTAATTTATTCATATCTACATTTTAAACATATAGGGCCATGACCATTGAAAAGCATATGAATGTTTAAATCCCTAATTTAATATCCAGGTATTATTAATTTATTAAACACCAACTCTCCTTTCACCTCCACCCAGTGCAGAAGCTGGCGATGGTGGGAAGTCGGTGTGTGCATTGTGTGTGTTGTGTTGGTGTGCATTGTGTGTGTTGAGTCGGCGTGCATTGTGTTGACGTGCGTTGTGTGTGTCGTGTTGGCGTGCATTGTGTGTGTTGTGTTGGCGTGCATTGTGTGTGTTGTGCTGGCGTGCGTTGTGCTTGTTGTGTTGGCGTGGGTTGTATGTCCTTCCCCCCGCACCTCCGATTAGTACGTTTGGCTACGTACGGGGCGAAATAAATTCAACATACACACACATGTATTGTAAGTTGGTGTCAATAGGGCAATATTCAACTTCACTATTTTACGGGCAGTGATATATACGAAAGCCGGCATAGGGCCAACCGAAAAGAAAAAACTTGAACCGCCAACTTTGGTTGCGCACCCCATCGGCGCACACAGGAGCCGGTAGCAGCGAGTCGGTCGCACGCAACTGACAAATGGAGCACTTGCTGCGTGCAGGGTTCCACATTCGCCCCGTTTGAAAGCTACTCACAAGCTCCTTGATCTGGAATTACACGTAGCAATCGTCGCTCCCTGCTGGAGACAACAAATGGGGCCATTTGCAGGCCAGGGTCTGAGTCACCTTGTGCCCCACTGGGAGAGCTGCCGCTGGGTTGGGGGGGGACCCCTTTAAAATGTGTTGAGTTGCTGAGCTGTTGAGATGTGAGATGATGTAAAGCGCTCTGAGACTTCCCGGCGTATAAGTCGCGATATCAAAACCCAAATCGTTACCATTCGTTAGATGCATGCGGCTGGTGCTTGACTGAATATCGACCGCGAAATAAAATATGAGTGCTCAGGAAGGCCCCTTTGTGGGTCTTAGTAACTAGATATATTTATATTTACATACTTTATCCCCATAGCGGCTTTTGGCTAACCATCAGACAAAAACAGTCACTGCATCGCGCGCTTTCAGATGCGCTACTGCAGCCATCCAAAACGCTCTTCCTTTTGATATTAGGAAGCCGCTGGAGCTATGCAGTTTAAAATAGAAATTGAAAACTTATTTCATTAGAACTGCTTTTTGTGTTTAGTTTGGTGTCCTTCTCCCGCACCTCTGATTAGCACGGTTAGCTACGTACGGTGCAAAAGAAGTTCAACATACATACGTACGTGCATACAATTTGAACACAACGTGTGTTCGTTTTTAAAAGTCACGTGAAATAATTTAGCTCAGCGATTGGATATGTCGGTCGGATGGACTCATCTAGAATGCGTAACGAGGGCAGCTATTGAAGGTGGACCTGGAGAACCAGGACACTCCAGGTGTTTGCTTCGTTCATATTCTATCACCAGTAGGTTCTGTTGGCTGACATTGGTGGTACCTTTGCACACAACTGTGGATGCAGCGAGGGTTGGTGGCTCACACAAATGTTGTGATATTCCCTTCCTGTGGGTGTTGATGAGGTGCCGTACCCTGGCTTTTCAGAAGGTAGTATAGCAACTGCGTACACATATCAGCAGTCTCTCCTATATGGGATAGTGTTGCCTCCTCGCTTATGAGAGTTTTTTGACCGGGTGCTTTGATTTCTCCACACATGTATAAACACTAATTAATTGGCTGAAAACATATTCACATATAGAGGACTGCAGAACTTGGACCATTGATGGCACCGGCTTCCTGCCTGGCTGCCTTCCTGTCTGACTGTGATTCTTGAGCAATTGTAAGGTGCAATTTGCATCAATAGATACATATATAACAATATGTGATTCTTATAAGTATTGGCTCGGTAAAGATATGCTTCGCATGTCCTTACCGAGCCAATTTATAGCAAAAGCAATGCATCCGATTCCTGTTTATTCACTAATCCATTGCCTGCTTCTTTCAGCTAATGGCTCTTGGCACTTTCTGTTCAGTATTTTGTACTTGTAGCCATTCGCAAGTTGATACTTTGTGCGGTTTGCAGTTGTCATTGTCCGTTTGAGTGACCAGGTTTCAGATGGTACGTTCATCGTAGCTGGCAACAGGAGCTTATAAAAACATTTCCCTGGTATAAATACGTAATATGTCACTTTGTTTGTCCAAATGAGGACTGCCTCACATGCTGTACATCACGTTCAAATGTAAGTCTCAATAAATATTTAAGTTAACGTTTTAAATGTAAGTTTCATATCAATTGATTGGATAACCACTTAAAATACAGTACATACCGTGGCCCAGATACATAATGCATTGTGAAGTTTTAGAATGCCCCGAGGCGACCGTGACAGAGGCTGCTATGTCAGGTGATGTCACGTCAGGTAATGTCACCTCCACGTTGGGCAGCTGTAAAATAAAAAAGTGCCGCTCTCTTACACCGATCATTAGCCATTGAGGAGCAAGATGTGATGCACGTCCCCCGTGCGCCATGCACTTGGCAGACCCTCAGGGCACCATGCGAAGTTGAAGGCTTAAACACATCCACAAAAGCAGCCTCCTGGTACATTTATAGTGGGTTCAACTTAGTTGCGGGTAGGGGTTCTGCCGGATGGGAGCGGCGTCGCCCGTATTGATGTGGTGACTCAAAAGCGTAGTGCGTCCGATGTCAAGTTTGCCCTTGTTAAACACATCTGAGAATTCACGTAAGAACGCCCTCAACTCCCCCGTCTGGGACTCCACATTTTACAAACAAAGCGTATCCATCCACTTCTCATCATAATCCTTTTGCGACCACGTATTCGACGCGACCCCCACTCTGCCAATGATGCTTCCTTCGTGAAGTGCGGGCGACGCATGAGCTAGCACAGTGCCCTCCTGAATGACAGATGTGTGTAACCCTGCATTAAGGACCTGAATGAACGGTTCGTGATCATTGTATACCAGAGTCTGGGCCCCTATTAATGTCAACCCACGAATGGCTTTATGTGAGGGTCCTCCCACAGTCGCCTCCTGGTTTAGCGGCTTGCGCAATCGTAAAGGAACCAACATTGCACGCCAGGGGGAATCTTTGCAGTCTTACTCGTAAGTGCTTGCACGGTAGCATTGGCCATGCACAATCGAGTGGGAGAAGGCAAAAAGGCCATTCGATGGCCCGATGGCAACTCAAGGCACCCTTAATCGATAAACATTTTCAGTGGCATCTTCCCTAAAAAATCAGTCCCGAACAAGCAAGGAATAGCAAGGGACATTGATACAAGAACCTAGACCCGTCGATTTGAGCCGCCGTTTCCGGCAAAGCACGGAGCCCCGATGGGATGTAGGGTGTGACTTTTAGGGGGCAAGTTGTTAAAAATCAACTCGGAAATAATAAATTTCGATTTAAAGCTTTCGTGACTGCAGGGATTAATATTCTTGGTTCTTTCTTACCGAAAGAACCAAGAATCGGAAATAACAGTCGCTGACGCACCAGTATCAATGAGCATTCTGATTTCAACCCCCTCTATCAATCTCATAACAGCGGATGAACTTACGGTCGCGGCAGCCACTCTATGGGCCAACGTCGACCACTGACCCGGTCGGAGCGGCCAGTCAGCCCGAGCAAATTGCGAACCCTCACACACCGTCGCACGATGGGAATAAGAACTGACCGAACGCGATGAGGTGAGGTGGATTCAGGGGCCGAGTGTGTGATGTGTCGCAACTCGCCTTCGGGTATAGTGGAGTGGAGGACGGTCCGGCGTACGACGGCGGAGGTCTGGGGAGGCATCGCCGTGGCACGCGGCAGCCCGACGAGACATGTCCCGGCAAGCCGCAGTTGCAGCACACGATGTGCCCGCTCCCAGGACGAGGAGAGGTCTTTCACCATCGAAGTTGTTCATCCATTCGCACCATGCCATCCCCTCGCCAGCCTTCGGCCTTGGCTCGATGCGCAGGCTTGGATGGGCTCTACATCTTCGGGTGTATCGTGCACCTCACAAGGCGCAGTACACACCACCAACCCCTTAGGTCGTTGCAAGAGCCGGTGCGCCTGGATGCATCTTGCAACCTTGAGAGAAGACAAGTCATCTTCGTTGATGGCTGGCAGGATGATGTTGAGGTCCTTTGCCAACATCAACAGTCTCTCAAGGATCAGCGAGTCGATTCCATCGTGGTCCATCTTCGGGAAGGCAGCCTTTGCTAGCGCCAATAGTGCGCTACGGAAGGCGAGGGGCGTTTCGGCCTCCCCCCTCCTCCG